CACTATCCACACACAGACCAGAAAGTACAAACGTGTGTGTCTTTGTTACCCCGATAGGTGGGAATAGGTGTACATTTCATTAAGCTGTGTAGTAGAAGGGAGAAGAGAGACAACTCTCGTCGTCCAAGTCGAAAGTCTTGTGTTTTTTGTTATACACGCATCACTTATGTTAAAATAAATAAACAAGAAGAGTTATCATTATGGTCTTACACATAAACATACAATCATAAAATTTTTTTAGAGGACCCCATCTTAGGGGGGTCTTGGGGGGCACGTCCCCAACCCAAAAGTCATACAGGTTGAGAAAGTGACTCTCCCCTTTAACCGTCTAACGAGGTTCGCGAAAAAATAAAATGATGTCCAAAAAAAAGTTAAACCTGACTCTGTCCACTTTATTGATTTGTGTGCGCACCGCAAAGTGACAGCTTCCCACTCAATGCACATACATTAATTAACGTTATATGACTGAACTCGGGGTGGTGACGTACCCAATCCGGATGGTATCTAATTTGGTTGATTTTATGAGACCTCGGCGGTTGACTAACGTTCCTCTATTGCGACTATATCTACAACTAGTTTTCAATTTATTTATAAATCCTACCTAGGTACACTGTTATACTACCGAACAGAAGATACATATCCTAATCGTTACTGACTGGGATTCAATACCACCATATAAATACTAAGAAACCTCGTGAAAGTATAATGTTATTTACGTTGTAAAGTAAATTAAAGGAAATTTAATATATTAACATTTTTGGACCCCGTCCCTTACGGCGTAAACATATATATCTCATAGACCAGACAAACTTTTTTTCCCCCTTTACGTCGGGAAATGAAGCTGAGCCTTGCCGCGCGCGGCGGTCGCGAATATAGTATAGATTAAGTTCGGTTACAATTCTGACTATGTTTACTTCACAAACCCTGGTACAAACCATCAATCCAACCTAATTAAATCAAAAATTCGTTTACAACCCACAAAACATCGAACATTTACAACGCAATAGTTGTACTTGATGAACGTTGTAAAACTTTTCCTTAAAAGAAAAAATAGAACATTAAAATAAACAAACACTTTGACTGTCTAAACTCTCAGTATCAACCACAGTTAGGTCATTTTTAATACTCAACAACAAAGTAATACACGGTGAGGTGGCGACCTTGGGGGTAACAACCCAAGGTTAGAACTCCGGCACCCCTACAACCTACTGCCACGCGGTGTGGTGCAGTGTCGTTTTTGCCACAGGCCCCGTGTGGTCTTATTTCATTACGTGTTGATTTCTATCAACACGTAATTTTGTATCGATGTATTGAGATGTACTACCGCAAAAGTATTCTCCGTCGGGACTTCCTGCAACAACACCACGCCGTTATCTTGATTCTGATTGGCCAGAAGACATTATCAAAGATGTTCTATTGAGAAGACGATCACTACGTGACAAAAGTTTTCAAACCCGTTTCTGGTCTTCGGTATTTCCAGACAAGTGGCTACTGAAATCAATCTTACTAATTGCTGTCTGTGCAATTTACTCCGCGAGTTGGCGGACTTTATTTTGCTTACTTTAACATATTTTTTCATGGTGGGGCTAAGGTGGGGCTAAGCCATTTCTTGGTATGGCTGTAGCCTACCCCAGCCATACCCTGGCGCCACCACTGCTTATAACCTGCAAGAAGTGAAGAACATATGGAAAACAAACCAACTGACAGATTCATTTAAAAAAAAAGTGTACTCCGTACACCCCATGTGACATCACCTTGTTGTGTTTTGATATAACGATGATCCTTTTCTCAAAACAAGTATACTAAACCTCTGCATATGTTTTTTGTCTCTCTATTGTAGCGATCCAGGCGCTGCGCTCTGTGCTCAACTCTTTCTGCGTGGTCAACAGGAAGAACATGTTTGTGTACCAGGAGCGTACCACTAAATCAGTCTTCTACCTCAGGTAACACTTTGTCATCATTAGTCATTCTTCCTATATTTACCTCTTCAGTCTCTCTTCTGTGGAAGCCCATTTGTGCCACAAAAAATGTATCCTGTTAGTCAGAATTATGACTTGCTATCTAATTATAATGACTTGCTATCTCATTATAATGACCTACCATCTCATTATTGTAGCTTCTCGCCACAGGAATTCAATGAGACTTTATATCTCTTTTAATCACCCATGTATTAGTCACTGAACACAGGTTAGTGTCGGCTGTAACCACGCCATAACAAAGAACTTAGTTACTCTTTACTCAAACACATACACACCGCTAGATCTCTGGTAGCATTTCCCGTCTAACTCTAGGAGCCTCCCTCCATCTCGACTCGCAACCAATCAGAACTACCTTTTCCCCTTACCTCACAGCCACAGCTCACTAGAACTGTCTGTCAAAACAGTGACATGTTCGCTGACAATCTGTTAATCTGATATCAACTCTGAACAATAAAACACATAAAAACATCAACATTTCAACTAGTCTGTTACATTATTATGACTTACTATCTCATTATTACGAGTCAAAATAATAAGAAAGAAAGTCATTATAGTGAGGTACTTTAGTAAGTCATGATAATGAAATGGCAAGTCGAAATAATGAGATAGTAAGTCATAGTTATAGTCATAGTTATGACTTACAGGATACATTTATTTTTTTCTGTGGCGCAAACGTATTGTTCACACAGTTTTATTATGCTGAATTTCAAACCGAAATTCCCTGACACACAATATTTTATAAAACCCTTGTATAGCTGTAAGGCTTTGGCAAGGCTCACCTTAAAGCTTACCTTTAAAGCCGCACAGTGTTTTCTTTCTCCTGAAACAAAAATAAACCCACAAAAGGTCTTAAGGGAGGAATATAGCAGAAAGGAAATTAAACTGGCTCCAAATTGAACTGCTGTCAAACACAGCCGAGTGAGTAAACACCATTGGTGTATCCCCCAGGCAGATGGGAGAGCTTCCCAGGGGGGGGGAGGAGGGAACAGTGTATCAATGCTGCACACACACTCCAACTATCATCAAATCATCTTTTCACAACTTCAGAAGGGTTGGGGATTCTTTAAATGTAGAAGCAACAAAGAAAGAGAACGACCATGTAGTTGTGAGGATTAAGACAACTCATTGTGTGACATTTTTGACCACAAGGTATTCTGTTTCATATTAGAGGTTAGCTCAGTCTCTATATACTGAGGTGCTGAGAAAAGTCATGGTCACTTCACACTCATCGCCATGTGACATTGGCTGCAATAATTACCGACTTCAATTGTGGAACTTAAGTCTTTTTAAATCAAGAATCAGAAAAAGAAAGGAGGTAGACATACTTTAGCTAAAATCTGTTCTTCACTCATTTAGTATATTTACATTACACACATAGGTCTATATACACACATAAACACATGCTCAAAAATGACCTATACAAAATACATGCATTAGCAATAGAAGTGGCAGCGCGTTGTGGCTGTGTTCAGTCCGTATTTTGAATCGGGACTTGAACTGGCAACCTTTCGGTTCTTAATCGACTCGGTTTTTAATCGACTTTGAGTACTGAAAGCGCTATATTAATTTAATGTACTATTATTATTATTATAGTACTCCATTCCATATATGTGCTTCCAAATGCACTGGAATAATAATTACTACTAATTAAGACTACTTAATTTCAATGTATTAGCTTTAACTCAATTTATGCTAATTATTATTATTTATTTTTTTAATTAAATAATGACACATCAACGGAAGTGTTGTTTAAATACCCTTAGATTGGGTGTGTGCTTGTATTTTGTATTTTAAATAGAAGCCTTTCTGTTTGGTTTCATCTAAACGGCTGTAGCATTGGGGACACATATCCTTAAAAACAGCTTGATCCTGGTTAGTTATCCCATTCTTCTTCATGAAATACACTCTGGTATAATACAAGGCACTTAGTTCATGGGCCATGCTTGTACACAGCAGCAACAAAAGCACATTTAACGTTGTCTCAATTTCTCCATTTTATTCAAGCAATCATTTAGTTGTGTAATACTGCCTGTGACTTGTCAGATAAGTATTTGGTGTTCACTGTTTGCTATCATTTACTTTGTTAGAAACATTAGTACATTAGTCAGAGTGGCTTTCAGATAAAAAGGATAGAAACACACTGGGGGGACGGATAAGAGAGATGAGGATAGGATAGTGAGAGGTGACCTTTGTTTTAAATGGCAGAGGATGGAACTCTTGTCAAAGCATTATATTTACTTGACTTTCACCAGGATGCTGTAAATGCATTTGTTTATCTTTCCAGACTTTGTGAAACGTCCCTGACCGGGAAATACTCTGACGTGGATGGAAGCCTACACGTGACTCGGTCCATAGGACTCGCTCGGAGTCAGGAGCCTCTGATTTCTGAGGATCTTATGGTTAGTTACCACATTTATTATACGTACAATACATGCATTTGACTCACAAAAGTGCTGTTGGCATGTGTATTTCATAAGCAAACAATTTAAACAATCAAAATGAGGCATTACTTACTTGAGTCTTAACTGCATGAAGACTCGATTTGACATTAAACTTGACTTTGACTTGTCCTCAAAATACTTGGAACTTGACTGGACTTGCTCTTTAACACTAAAAGTAACAGACAGCTTAATGATGGCAACCATAGACACAAACAAAGCCTTTTTTTGTCGGTAGCTATCACATTCGGAGTGTGATCAGACTTAATTTAATTATAATGCAAAAGGAAGAACTCCTATATGTAAAACGTGATTTTTGAGGCACACAAATAAGTTGTGTTTGTAAAATAATGCCAAAAATATAGTTCCAAAAATATTTTTATGACACACATGCATATATTCTTGTTTTACAGTTAATAATTGTAATAGAAATAAAATACAATACAACTTAAGTAGTAATTCCTTTGAAACAGTTGTTGAAGATACTCATTTATATATAAATCAAAAAATAAATGTGTGATTCCCGATAAATCTATTAAAATGGATACAGACAATGTTTGCCTCCACTTGCCACCTCTTCCAACAAGAAAACACGATTTATTAGTCGGTAACACAAAATGTGAAACTGCTCTGAAACATACCCAAAGCGGGCTGTTTGTTAGAGGTCAGTCAGTGTAATCATGCTTAGTTTGCCTTAGTATTGCTACCCAAACAGCTGACCCCCTGCTGTGTGTGTCCTCAGAGCTCCAGGTCGTCTCTGGACGGCTCTCGGCCAGTTGGACAGGTGGACAAGCACATTCTGCTGCTGGTGCACGGAGTGGGACACACAGGTGAGAGGGAAACATCAAGGGATGATAAGGATTTATATTATTGATATGAGATAAAGAGATTTATAGTAGCAATGGAGAGTCAGGACTCAGAGAGACACGAGGAGAGCTGAAGCTTTGATGGCAAACACTGACGGTTTATTTGGAGTTACGGCCGAAGAGTTGACAAGACAGGTGGTCTGTCACGAGTTGACACAGCGGTTGCCAAACCAATTCTGAAGAACTCTTTCTGCAGCTCGAGGTCTAGTACTAGTTCTGAGAGTAATAATCAACATTCTTCATCAGTGAGACTAAACGATTATGGACCCTGAATCTAACTAGAGCTCTCGTCCATAGGAAAGAATGTGCGCCAGGGAACCTACGTCCTTGAACAGTACACTACCTCATGGCGGCTGGTGCTCTGTCATAGACTGACAACAACAATGCGCCCAAGCTGCTCCTCCTTAAGAGAGATAGCAGCAATACCCAAGGCCGTAGAACTAGGCCATGGGAAAGGAGACAGTGAGAGGAGAAAATGATGAACTGTGTCGAAGGTCGAATACCTACACAAATGGTTCCCTAACATGGAGGAACATAGTTTATTTAGTTTATTTTATCATTTAAAAAATGCGTTTATTTTAGGAAGAAAATTGTACCTTTATCTGAAAGAAATTCCACGCTTAACTAAAAAGGCAAGCATTGCTATATTACACATATAGCCAACATTAGTCTGTTTGACATTATTAAATTCTCTTAACTCTCCAAATCCTCCAGAGAGAAACTCCCTCTGGAGGGAACCTTGGGATTTCAGCGTTTGCAGACATGTACAAAAACCTATATAACACACTTCAGGAAAGGGAAAACCCAAAAGCACATAATAGGGCCTCTTTTAATTCAAATCCAAATCCTCTAGTTTGCTTCTCATTTTTCCATTTACATCTTATTAACTCCAATTTCCTGCAAGGACGAGCATGAGGATCCATCTTACAATTTGGTTTTCTTCATGGCCACTTGCATGGCTGTAGAATCTTAGATGTTAATGAATCACTGACAGGGGAATAAGGATGTTGATAAAATACAGCTTTATAAAGATCAAATACTTCTAAACTTAGCGTGCGATTGATACACAAATTGACATTTCACAGTGGTATTAGACGGTCCTCTGTGGATCTGTGTATAATTAGTGATGCTGTAGAGGAGGCAGAACGCAGAGCGAGGCGGATCATGCATGAATGGTTCTCAGTAACTCCCAAAATGCCTTCAGCTAATCGTGTTGCTCCTGGTGTTATGGGAGGAGGCATTTGGAGCTGGATGGCAGTCAACACCAGTGAAGGCCTGCAGCAGCTCTCAGTGGAGGGGGGGGGCACACACAGCCAGAGTTAGAGGCTGTTTAACTTCACTCTGTTCTTAGAGAGCGTAGCTGGGTCCACTGACAGCAAGTGTCACCTACTGCTACTGACATATTTGATAAAGACATGCTGTTGGGAAGTATCACATTACATTAGAATAAAATAAAAGATTAAAAAAAGAAATTGTTTATAAGAATGTTTCATCAAAGGATAAAATAACATATTATTGGATCTTATATTAAATCATTTTATTAAATAATTGTATTAAAAATGTCTAATACAAGGACCAACAAGGGGGGGTGAAGAGGGTAGATATTTATCTTTTCACAATTACAGAAACATATAACTGCTGTGTTGAATGTCAAATGTCTGCCGAAAATCCCCCCAAAAAAATTGGAAAAAATAACTCCAATACCAAGCTAAAGGAGCACAATTACTATATCAAGTATTTATAAAAAAAATAGGATAACAATTATGAATAGGATAAAGAAAAGATAATTATGAAATAACACTGTATTATGCTGCTGATTTTGCTAAATGTTCAGTGTTGTTAAGAATGATAGTGATTCAAATCATCACTCTCTGACTTCCTGTCTGGGTCACGGAGCCCATTGGCTCGGACGCACATATCACACACACACACACACACACACACACACACACACACACACACACACACACACACACACACACACACACACACACACACACACACACACACACACACAGTCAAGCCCTCATACTGCCTTAACAATTATGTGTATTTCTACTTAAGTTATATTATGGGGTATACCTTATTTGATGTACACCGTATTACTTTATGTTGCTGTTGTTTCCTGCTATTGGTCTTGTTCTCAACCCAAAGTTAATTCATTGTAATAAAAACAGGAGAAGGCTGCTGTTCTCCTGTAGATGCCTAGATGGCACTGTTGTACTAGGGCCAAACCTTTGCTTTCTACCGGCTGGGATTACGTCAGCAGTTTCTCAAAAGCACAGATAATTAAATTCCTATTCTGCTCTCCCACTAACTGTACTTTGAACTCCTGCGGGTTGTTTTTCTGCAACATCACTGGTGAGCTGTGTTAAGACACTCTTTGAAGTGTGAATATGTGTGTTTTTGTAAGTACACCATCACTCTTTTGTCAGCAGAAGAAAATATCAAGTTGATTACACAACACTTGGAAGGAGATACTAAACCCTCTGAGGCATTAATTAATACATTATTTCCTTTCATTGTTAGATGGTAAGAACATTCTTGACCTTGAGTAATTAAATCAAGTTAAATCACCTATATTTTTCAAGAGCTCTCTGACATGAGGGAGACAGATATCTTTTTCACTTGAGATTGCTTAGCCGTTATATTTCAAAGTCATATAGTGGCAACTGAGCTTTCTCCATAACAACCGAGATAGAACATCTGAGTGATGCAGTGGAAAGCTCCAATACTAGGCAGTTAAGGTTTTCCATTTGCTTTTATTTCTTAACCTAAATTTGGTCTGAGGATGTAAAAGGCTCGCTTTGACCTACAGCCTGAACAACACATTTTCTGCTCAATTCCTTTTTGCTGCATCTCCTACCAAAGGTTTTTGGATGGCAAAATGTTGTGTATGATAAAAGAATACAAAATAAAAGCTTTGACCTAAGTTGAAAGTTGGAATAAATGTAACAATAGGTCTACTTTCTTGCTTTTTCTCTGGGACTTTTCAAATGCCCCATCCTTTTTCCCGATTGTGCCACTTGGGAAGCACGCTTCAGATGCTGTTAGAACACTTCCTTTCAAACATGCTAAGACCGTTAGATACTGAACTGCAATCACTTTTTGAAAGCAGAACCGTTGTGTTTCTTCAACATGAGGGTGATGCAGAGATGTTTATTCCCTCTGTGTTCAGGTCCAGAGATCACAGACGAGCTGGTCAAACTCCTGCGGAAGCGCCTGGATGAGAACACCCTGGACATCATAACTGTCATGCTTGTGAGAAACTGCAAGCTCACACCAGCTGATGTGGAGGTAAACTGCTCCGATGGGGACATTTGTAGAGAAGAAATTGAGGGGAAAGCAAAAAATGATTCTAAAATGATTGGGAATCTTTGAATACAAATATGTTTTAGGTACATACATTGAGCTGCTATTACTTTCACTGCGGCAATCAGACATCACTTTTAATGGAAATTGCTTTGGATAATAGCCTTTATAAAATGTTGTGTATTTAGTTCATCCAGCCAGCAGGGTCTCCAGCCACCGAGGTGATGACCTTCAGCCTCCCCCCCTACTGTCTGCCCTGGCTGCCCGCTGTGGCTCACTACCTCAGGCAGAACCTCCTCATCTTCCTGCACGTACCCAAGTACACGGACAGCAACACAGCACACCACTTCAAGGTACAAAACACACCTACCCAATGTTATTGAGTTAGAGGACACATTCTGCTCATTTACAGGTTCATATCAGTATGTAGTGTCTCTCCTGTGACATGTCTCCATGCTTTAATGTTCAAAAAGCTCTTTATTGTTCTCATACTGCCTGTGCTGCAGCACCTCTTTTCACCCTCTGTCTGAAACCAGAGCCCAGTCTGCTCTGATTGGTTAGCTGGCCAGCTCTGTTGTGATTGGTCAACTGCTTAGAGATATCCCTCCCATTAGCCAAATAATGGGTTGGCCCACTAGCCAATAGAAACTTGAGTGTTACGTAGTGATATAACTACTGTATGTGACAGAAGTAAACAAAGGGGTCCAATGGAGGCGGATTTTAGCCACAAAAACCTATAACACACTACAGGAAAGGGAAAACCCCCAAATCCACATATAAGGGCCTCTTTAAATTAATATATATATATTGTTTATTTAATCAACAAACAAACACAATTGTTTTACTATTCTAAGCTAAACAATAATGCTCTTACTGTGCCTAAAACAGATATCCTGGCTAAGCATTGGGAACAAATGTATACCGAGATTTTCTTTATTTGAAACAAAGAACAGATCAAGTCTTTGGCCTTTTTTTTCTGAAGCTCTCTGATTTGTTATAGCTCTACCTCGCATCATCCCAGAAACTGTTGCTGCAAGATCAATGTCTCAGCAGCAGTGTAACGGTCTGGCTAATAAAACCCCAAAGTAAACAGTCTGACTGGTTTAAGTCCTGAAACTAGATTTGTCGACTTGTAAAAGTAAGGCGTTGCTGCTTGAACATTCAAAAGTGCCTCCCTGCACTGATAGATGTCTGTGAGTGCACCGCAAACAGCTCTGTACAAAGTGATCAAGAAGGGATCCATTCTGGAAACCTGTGGCAGAGAGTCAAATCACTTTGGCAAGTCTCATTGTGATGTTTGAGATAAATGCTGACTGGTGCCCTCCTGTTCTGTGTGCAGCACTACTTTCATTTGAGCGGAGACTTGGCCGACAGAGATATCTACCTCTACAATAAACCTGGAGCCCAGGGGACCGGCGGCAAAGGTAATCACAGCCCCCAGTCTCCCTGTGTGTGTGTGTGTGTGTGTGTGTGTGTGTGTGTGTGTGTGTGTGTGTGTGTGTGTGTGTGTGTGTGTGTGTGTGTGTGTGTGTGTGTGTGTGTGTGTGTACAGAAGACACAAATAAATGACAGCGCATATACTGAAATGTAGGATTAACCCCTTGGGATGAACCATGTCGTTTTCAAGGGGTTGCTAACATATTGTACAAATAGCAAGAAAGTAACAAGGAAAACTAAATCACGTCACAATACAACCACTACTTCAATCACAACACAGAAATTAAAGGAACACATGTGGACATTTGAAAAGAAGTGAATTGGTGGTCAATTATTCAGTGAAAGCAAGTCAGTAGAGATGGGTTTTGAGGTAGTTGATCTAACAGAGGGGGGTGTATGTGTTGCTTTGTTTGTGTTTGCCACATATTTTGCCTAACAAACATTGTGCTCCCTGCAACTTGAATATTGCACTAGGGACTAGTCCATTTTGATTTTCGATACAATTTCAGCAGCCACTGACAGTACCCCTTCCTGAGAAGTGCCCATGCTTTTTAACAGAAAATCAAAACCTTTTAAGTGGTTTGACAATTTTTTTTAAATAAATGATTCCTGTGTTATCAGGCCATGAAATAGAGCTCAAAGGAGGCAGGTGTTAAAAAAACATTCAAACTCAAACCCTTTTCTTCTTATCTGAGCCTGATACACTCTTTCTTTACCTCCGTCTCATTTTCTTTGCTGTAACCTCAGGTCTTTATTGTCGTTATACTTGTGTACAATGACATTTTGCAGGCTTCTCTCTTAAAATAGAAACAAATGAATAAAAGCAGTGATGAAAAAGTCATAAAAACAGTAACATATTGTTACATTGCAAGCCTACTATGGTGTCTCATCATAAACATCTCTTATACTATCACAATATTATATTTAAATGTTATAATTGTATACATACATAGCGACTTGAAAGTTGTATTTTCATGTATTTAAACTAACCCTCTTCCTAATTCATGTAGAGAACTGTTTGTCTTTGAACAAAAAAACTCTCATTTAAGGGTAGAGAGTCCGATTGGGAAAACAAACGCACCCCTAATTACACTGTGAGTGCTTGTGTTTCAAATTGCCAATAGACTATGATTGTGCTTTTACTGGACCAGTACCAAATGTTGATGGGCCAACAGCATGTGTCCAATGTAATCCATTTCTCAGGTAAAATGACATGATAGATAGTACTGGGAGATCTTCAAAGGACCTCTATGCCTTTGGCTGTCTAATCATAAACACTGAGGCGAGGAACAGGTTGCTCCTTGCTCCTGCTTTTAGACTTTCTGTCTAACTATTTTTTAATTGCTGTGTGAAAAAGCTCTGACTACATCTCATTAGTTTTAGCATCGGCAGAACAAAGTGCATTTGATGTCACCTGATCCCTTCCCGGCGTGAAATAACTCTGATAGTCACCTTTGTTCTGTCAGCGCATTAATAAAGCGTGTCTCAGCTGCTCTCCGCAGTTAGTATGTTTGCTGAATTCCAGTTGACTTTTTAAACACCAATGTTATTGCAGACCTTGACAGTGATAGGACTAGAGCCAATTAATAATACATAAATAAATAATACATGTATTTATAGAGCACTTTTATAGTACCGGTACTCAAAGAGCCCTTATATATTGTATTAAACCACACACACAAAATAATGAACTCAACATTAAAAGCAGTTTGAAAAAGCTGAGTTCTGTTGCTGTCTTCATTGTGTTTAGGGAGAGACTTCCAGAGGGAGGGGGCAGCTATGGAGAAGGCTCTGTCCCCCAATCCGTTGATTATACTGTATATATATATAAATAAAATGATTTAGCCAAATGTACTGTATCTCATTTGTGGCATGTTTTGTTAGGAGTGGCAGGAATGTTTCGTTTTTCCGAAAAGCATGTGTGCAATAAAAGCCAGTCAAATTGAAGCATCCAAACATCAACAATGGACATTAAGACTGTTTAAGATTCTACTGTGTGTGTGTAAAATCTAGGCTGCTGTGACACACAGTTAAGGTGGCACCATGGAAATTAAACCAAATCATATATTTTGTCAGCTAAATGGATGTTTGTCTAACAATGCCAAGGCTGAATGGAAATTTCTTTTTTGGATAATTGTGATCAAAAGCAAATCATTTGTGACTCAGCATGTAGAAGTTAAAATGGAGCTAACTAGATTTGACTCTTTTGGACATTCAACCATTTCCCCCTGCTCTTTCAGGTATCGCCTGCATCCCCCTCTCATTCGTGGACGCCCATAATCGACCCCTTCAGGTTCAGGACGGTGCCGCCCTGCAGAGATCAGAGAACGGCACCACCCCCCTTCATCCAGAACACTTTGATGAGCTGACCACTGTGGGGAGGGTGGACTCCGTCAACATGAGCTCAGGTACATTTCAAAACTATTGCCAAACTTCTTTAGGCCAGCTTTCCGGAATGTCTGAAGCTGGTTCCTGGTGGATGGCTAACGGTTAGGGTTTGTCATACAGGAAGTAACACATCAAATGTAAATACTGTGCTCCGTCCACAGAATCATTTACTTTATTTTACTCCCTAGTTGTTTAAAGGGGACCTATCATGCAAAATGCACTTTTTGATGTCTTTTATACATAAATATGTGTCCCTGGTGTGTCAGGGAACTCACCAAGTGTCAGAAAATAAAACCCTCTCTCTTTTCCTCCATACCCAAATCTCTAAAAACAGGGGGTACAACGGAGCTGATCCAGATTTGCGTCTAATATGACGCAATATTGGAATTGTGGACCAACGGCACTATCAGCAACGTTGCTATCAGAAACAATGCCCGACTGTTTTGGACCTAATATGGTCTTTGTTTACATTAGCAAGCATCGCTAACACTCAGAGCTAACCTGTGCTGGAGAGAGCATGTGTAAAAAAGCAGGGAATAAAAAAAGGAACTCACCTTGTGGTAAACCGGCAAGAGAAAAAGCATTTGAGCTCCATACCGTTTCAGAAATAATCCTTGATGTGGTTTGGAACATGACGGCGTTTAATCACGGGAGCATTAAGCTGAGTATCTCGTAGAATTCTGAGCAGGCACAAGCACCCCCTCCTTTTGTGTGTTGAATGCAGAAAAGAGGAGCGTAACCCTGCTTTGGGCAGAAGGTTTTAGCGGCACACACATTTCTTTACAGAACCGTTTAAATATGTCAGTTCATCCAGGTTTGTAGCTTCAGTGTTAGAAACCCTCCGTTCAGTGCAGAGAGCAGCCTGTCACTCTAACTCTGCCGCAAAGGTCAATCCCCTCACAGTCATGAAAGATTTCTATGGTTGTATCCAAAGCTCAGAGGGTCGAGTAGGTAGAAAGAAGATTAACGAAACAGTAATCAGTAGGCTCAAAACTGAAAATAACATCTATGAGCAGTCGATTACAACAAATGGTGTCTGATCCCACTTCCAGCTCCACCTTCTGGTAGAAAATTCCGGGCTCCCTATAGCAGGCTGAACTGCAACAAATCTAATTCCTGCCTATGTCCATTAAGCTTCTCAACACTCAAATGTAATGTAATATCATTTAAAGTGTGGTTGTGGATTACATCACTATTCCCAGTATTGTCCTTACTGGGACAATGAAGTATAGCATATTGTATTGTATACTTATAGTATCGGATCCCATCTTTTCGTATTGTATCGCAACGTATTGTTCTTATAGTATTGTATCGTATCCTAAATATCGTATTGTTCTTAGCATAATTGTTTAGTTTTCGTAACATATAGTAACCTTTCATATCACATCGTATCATAATGTATTGTATTGTTCGTTTACTAAAGCTTTAAGGGGGACTAGCACGATAATGTTGAACAGCAATGGACCAGTCTAATCTCTGGTGGGGCGCACTGTATATGCTGAATGTTGAAAGTTAGTGGTTTAGTTTGTTTAAAACTAAAAATGGAGTACAATACTACATATGATTTCAGGTATTGAAATGATGTGAGGTAGTTGAACTCGCTCAGTGTGTGTGCGTATGGGCTTTACTTACAGAATTGTAGAAGAACAGTGTATTTTAACATTGCTGAGATTTGCTCACAATGTCAGACAGACAGCCTCCAGATAATAATATTTCTTTCTGATTGCAATCTGTTTAGTGTGCATTTAGACCTGCATTAATATACAGTGGGGCAAAAAAATATTT